CTGGGTAAATCCGGACGAATGGTAACCCTAGTTTTCCAGCTGCATCCCATCACTGCCCCCCACCCCCAGATTATTTTTGTGTGTTGAGAATTGATACTGGGGTACACTAAAATCCTTATACATGGCTTTGACTTGCACTCTCCCCACTGAACTGAAACTCGGGTTTTTGCTTTTCTTAGGTGGGTTTGCTGAATTCTCCGGCTGCTTCCCTGGCCTCTGTGAAGGAAAATCTGTTCTAGTCCCTACTTGTATTTCTCAACCTTGCTTACCTGTCTCCAACATTGGTCCAACCAGAATCCTGCCTCATCTTTACCTTGGTTGCCAGCGAGATGTCCTCAACAAGGTGGGTACTTTGAAATTATTATTTACGGCCATGGATGTGTAGTTTTCAGGAGTGAAAAGAGTTGCTTAAAAACAAAACAAAAATATATACAGATCATGCTTTCTGAAATAATTGCATCTCAGTGTTTTGTGAGTGTATTGTGATGTTACAGCAGTACAACTGCAAAATACCTTGAGTAAATGCAATTGACAGCCTTGTGTGGGCTTAACCTCAACCTCAATCAGCTATGTGATACCTATTTCAGCAATCTACCAACCAACGGGAAATTAATCATCTGTCACTGCAGAAGTTGAACTAGCTTCATGTGTGGCTCCAACTAGTTCTTCTGGCAAACATACAAGTCATGAACACAAGGGTGCTGATGGCAAGTACAGGACAAAAAAAATTGTGTTATTTCATGTATTTTCTATAAGCGCTAGGAAAAATCTGTTTGAAACATCTTCTAAAATATAAAGTCTTGGACAGTCCATTGGGCCTTTTAAATTCATCCGTACTATAGCACTGTAATCATGGTAAAACACTGATCACAAGTATAAATAAGTTTAATTAGATTGCTGTTCCTTGGCTGCTTTCCTAAAATCAGCAGTTCTGCAGTGTCTTTAAAATAGCCAATTACATCTTCTGTGGGAGAACTAAATGTTGTTCTTGCAGGGGCCTGGGCTCGTGATTTATCTAAAAGCTTCCTCAATATCTAATTTCTATTGCCCTATGTGCATACATAAACTATCTACATCCCTGGCTCATGCTTCAGCCCTCATGTCACCTCACTAGGTAATAACTTTTTTTTTTAATGTTGAAATGAAGGGGGGGAAAAACCTTCCCTCTTTCTCAAAATTCCAGTTTATTCCCAGTTGACAGCTGCTATTTACAAGGTGTTTAAATACTGAGCTGTGAGAACTATCTAAGACCCACAAAAGGGTTGGTTTTTTTTTCACTCTCCCTAACATGTTAGCTCTTCACCCAAGTAGGGAATGTCCAGTTTCGTATGCATGTAAAAACTTGTGTGTGAAGACATTTCTTGTTCCAGTCTTAACAGGCCTGTAATTCTATCACATTCAGATCCCTTTACCATAATTAGATTCTTTCCAGTTCCTTCTGTTTCTCTCTGCTTTCCAGTCTGTTTTTAATAAGGTATTGTTCATGGATTTTTAGATCCATTATTTTAATGGAGTCCTTGCAGTATAGGCAATTTACTAGTTACTTTTTTCCACAGCACATAAAGAAAGCAGCCAATATGGAGGATAGTCCATGGCAATTGTATTCACTTGAGATCTTTCTTTTAAAACTTGCACATATTTTACTGTGCAACAAGCCAGCAGTTTAGACCTGACTTATTTTTGGTGGATGTCTGAGCAATTTATCATTTTTCTTAGCGTGTATATTCTTAGTGGCCCCAGGACAGTACAAATCAAAGATTTTCTTTTTTCCCTTGCCACAAACCCATAGAACTTCTCCAAGAGGCTTTATTTTCTATTCTGATTATTTTAAATACACAATGGTCCCCAAGGAGGGTCATATCCAGACATGACAAAGTCCTGCTCAGCAGCCCCACCAGGTTCCTGATCAAGGTCCCTGCATTCAGGATGAGGGACAGAACTCTTGCTCTCATGTTATCCATCTGGTTCTGAGGCACTAAAGGCTTTGCTATTTGTTATGCCTATAGTGGCCCCTAGCCAGTGAATAATCTTGGAGGGGGAAAAAAGAAGCTCTTCTCCACACTTACAATAAATGTAATGCCTGTAAAGGGAGGAGAGTACTTGCACAGTTGTATGTGTAATCTTCAAGGACAAAGCTTGGGTGAACTTTGGTGAGAAATGGGTGTGGGGGAAGGGGAATGAATCCTTTCAGAGTGGAGGGGTTGTCTGTGAGAGCCCTGGGTGTGTCTCTTTGTTCAGCAGAACCAGGGGAACATGAAATGAGAATTTCTGATCTTGATGTAAAGGTATGTGGCTGCTAGACTGATAAAAGTCCTTCAGTTGTCCATGACTAGAGCTAGAGTGGGACCCTAGAATTCCATCAAATCCTGCATTTCTTCATCTATCTGTTGAGGGAATTCAGGTCTATAATCACTATCCACTTTCCATTTCCTTTGGAGAGCCACATAAAAGGTAGAATAAAGTCTACAGAATCTCTTTCCCCCCAGTTGGTTCTTCTGTCCTAGTCCTGGATAGATTATTAATTTCTTCATTTATCAGTTTGCTAGAAGTTCTGACAAACTAGGAACCTGTCTTTTGGGTTTCTTCTCAGTTCCAGGGCAAAGCTGCATCTTATGATCTCAGACCTATTTGTCCATCATACATTGTCCTTCCACTCCGTCTCTCTCTCTCTCTCTCTCTCTCTCTCTCTCTCTCTGAACAAAAGGTGGAAGACTCCTGTTGTGAGCTAGACATCTCTGATGGGGCTTACACTGCAGTAAGTAGGTAGTTTTAAGGGTATTGATGGCCCTCTGCTTATTGTCCTGGTGACTTGCCTCTTCTGGCAAGTCTGTACCAAGGCTTTCACCTTGAATATCTGTAGCCTTTTCTGCCTTGTCTATGTAGCTGAAAGAGCAAAAGGAAGATCTCTGCGTCTGGAATCCCATTGACACCTTCCTAGGTGATTTAGCAGCAGAAAGAGACTTTCCTTCTCTTTGGTGGGAGATGCCAACAGCCTTCTTCATTTAGCTTTCCTGAGAACCTCAGTTTTCTGGCAGTCTGCTAGTATCAACAGTGAGGGACGTGAGGTACTACGTTCCAGTGAACAGGTTGGAAGAGGGCTCACAGTGATAAGAACCTCCAATGCTTGATTGCCTAGATCAACGGGCCACTTTCACAGACTTTCTCTAGTGCCAGGATATGACTGTTGAGTGTGCTTATAAGGAGAGCAATCTAGAACAGACGGATCATTTTTAAAAAAATGTTCCAAAGGGATGAAAGTGAGGACTCGCTGCTGGAAGGAAGGAAGGGAACCAAACTTAGTGACAAGTGGCAGAAGAACTTTCGCTGAGGCAGCCATTAGGATTGCATGCCCCAACTGACAACTCGGCTTCTGTCTCTGCTGCTTCAGGTTACAAAACAAGGCCCTTACTAGGATGAGAAGATAGGCTTCTTGTTCATGTTTTTAAATTGTGGAAAGTGCAGTAAAATATGTGGGCAATTCTGCAGGGAAATCCCAAATTCTATAAAATTCACAGATCTCTATTGTCCTTGCTTTTGCCTTCTAAGTGCTCTCTGATCATCGATTGTCTGTGTTGTGAGCAGTCCTACCCAGACGAACTGATCTCCACATCACTGAAACTGATCCAAAATATTCTGCAAAATGAATTATAAATCTGCCATAAGATTCAGCTGTGGATATTGGAGCCTGTAGATGATTCAGTTTAGTTTATGGGGCTGGAGGAGTCTCTGACACATCATTTGGCAAGCTTGCTGAGTGTTGTCCTCTGCAGTCTTATGTGAGACTCCTGGGAGAAACTAAACATTTTATCCTGTTGCAGAAGTTTTTTGTACCTTGCAATCTGAAGTTACCAGTAATCCCCAACCAAGACCAATTAAAACAATATTCACAACGTTTCTGATTCATATGTATAATTGGTAAATAGTATCACTTATGTAAAGATAAGGCATGCAGAAATGTGTGGCTTCAATTTTTGTTAGTCATAAAAATTTGCAACTTCTTTACAAAGTCCCAGGGATTCTTTACATGTTCACTTTATTGACTTTACAATTTTTTTAAAACAAATATTTGAAGAGAACACCTATTTCTATTTTAGGATTTTGTATTGGATAGCCTTTTTAATATTTAAATAGGCACAAAGTTCAGAAATGCTTTTTGTGTACCCATTATGAATTTAGTACTTGAGGCCTGGCACTGGAAATATTTAGGCATTTATCTTTACTCATATGAGTAGACCATTGAAATCAGTCAGACTGTGCATGCAAGCAAAGTTGGGTATAAACATTTGTAAAGTCAGGTTCTTATTAACCATTTATACTATTCACTTTCTGTATTTTTGGATAATGAAAATTGACTAGTCAGTTCCACTTTCTGGGTCTCAAAACATTTAAGACAAAGTTGAGTATTTGCAAAAATGTTACAAGGGAATATTTAGATCCACGCACACTCTGTTTTTGTTAATCTTAAAATTTTGTGTAAGGACACAACCTACATTTTGGGCATACGCTTACCTGACTGTGTGTCTTTCGAAGGATGGCATATAACGTACACGTTTTTTATAGTCAGTGTTTTCAGGTGTAAGCAAGAGTTGCTCAGGCTCATGTATATTTCATAGTCACATTTTATATAAGTGACTGTAAAACCTTTTGCTTTGCTCCTTACAAAACTATTTTGTTTTTCTAGACCTGGCTTTTGTGTCCTGGAAAAACATGGCATTTTAGGGTAGTCATTAATTTTAAGATTAAACAAGTCACAAAATGTAAATAACTTGATAAAAGAGCATTTACCTCCTTTTCACATAGTTGTTAGTATTAGGATTTCTGGATCTTCCTCCCATCATAATTCATTTCTTCCTCTTGGGTGCCTTACAATGAAGTCACTGTTCTGGTTATTACATTATAGTCTGCAGCTCTGTGAATGATTGATATCCCAAACACAAGGAATCGTAACTTCTTTCTTTAGACCTAGTCCCAAAGATGAGCATTAACTCTTTTTTTTTTTTTTTTTTTACCTCAAACACACATAGGCATGGAATGCTTTGTTTTATGCCATCCTCTCCATTCCAATTTACATAATCAGTTCCTCACCAAAAATCTTTAAGTTTGAGTTGAGGTTCGTAGAGTGAGTGGCCCACCAGCACCATATGAAAAAGCTAAGAAAGAAGCCATTCAACGCCCCATCTACATTCACTCATCAGTTCCCCTTCCACAGCTCGTATATCTCTTCCCTCATCCTGAACAAACCGTCTCAATTTGTCTCAAACTCCAGCAATGGTTGTTGGCGATAAATTCGTTCCCCCCCCCCCCCCCCCGGTGTGGCTTTCGTAAATTACATTGAGTGTGGTTCTGTGTGTGATTTTGTACGGGCGTGTGAAAGTGAGGTACACTGTCAAACTGCAAATGGCAGCAGCATTCCTGTAACATTTAGGAGAACTTATGTGAGTTGGTGATCTGTATTATTTTTAGTGATCTAACTTTGGTTGTGTGTTTTTTGTTTTGTTTTTTACAGTATTCATAGCTGATTTCTACACTGTTGCACTGTGTTTATGGCCAGAGATAAGGCTTTATGTTGGTTATTCAGGATGAGCTCGGAGATATGTGAACTGTGCGTGGTCTTGCTTTTTTTTAGCATTTGCATTGATGGGAGGGAGTCAAGCAACCCATGCCACTTTCTGTGCACAGCTCAGATTAGCCCCTACATTCCTGCCATAGTCAGATTTCAACATGTGTGTCTTAATATGTGATAGCTGAATGGGTATAGTGGGGAGTGGGGGAGCATGTTGCAGAGTGGTGCTGTAGAAGATGTGTGGGAAGCAGGATTGGGGAGGAGGTTGCAGAGCCTATGTGTGATGGAGAGAAATTAGAATTGGGGCTTGATCTGTGATGGGGGTGGGGAGGAGAGAGACAATGTGCTGTGAATTGAACTCCTGTGGTGGTGTTGGTAGCAACTCCCTGGTTAGGGTATCATTGAACTTGGCACTCACATCAGGACTGGAATGACTGAATTAACTTCCAGATTTGGCACAGTAACTCTTCAGAGGACAAATGACTTTTCTGTGTGTGTTTTAAGCAAACTATTTATTGACTCTTGTGGAGGAAACATTTATAAATGCTCCCTGTTGGAAACATTGTGCTGTATTCCTCACATTTCTCTAGGTCCCTGGCTATACAAGATTCTCAAATATAGTAGTAAAGAGCGTTGTATGATCAATAGTTAAAGTGTGCAACTTGCCAAATATGTGTTTGTGTTCTGTTTAATCCCTAAGAAGTTATATCCTTATACTGTGCCAAAAAATACAAACACACACACACAAACCCACAAGTTTACTACTGCCAAACTGATTTCTTTTTTAAAAATAGAACTGGGTATGCAAACAGGAAAAGGGAGAAATGAATTTAATGGACAAAAGATCAAGTCTGCAGACATCTTAGGAGCCAGCTGTTTGGGAAGATACAGTAATGGAGGGGTGGGGGCACGAATTGCTGTAAACTGTATATTTTAAAAATATTTAAATTGCTAGACCAACATTTTTCTTACTGAGTGTGCTTACATGTAAATCGCAGCCTTAATGTGACAGCTATATCAATTATTTTTAAACACATATAAAGCTGTGCAACAATTTTTCTCTCTCTCTCTCTCACACACACACACACACACACACACACACACACACACACACACACACACACACACACACACAC